AAGTTGCTTGTCGGAATATCGAAGTGCTGAAGTGTTTGTATAGTAGGGCTACGGTGGTTATCCGAGTACACAACCAGAGTACGAAAACTATCCAACTGCAGAGAGGTGTAAGACTTATAGAAGACGTAATATCCCCGAAATTCTTCACCGCTGCATTGGAAGACGTTTTCAAGCTACTAACTGGAAATGATACGGTATTAACATCAATGGTGAGTACATTACTCAGCTTCGATTTGTCGACAATAGTGTGTCGTAATGTCGTAAAAAACGTTCGGCAGATTACGACACATCTTGTCATTAGGCATACCTCAAAACTAGATTGTATAACCAGTGCGTGTTGGCAGTGCCCCGTCCTTTCACTGCTGGCCATATGAGGAAGCTCAAAGTTGCTCAGTGAGCTATGGAGAGGGCTATGCTCGGGGTTTCTGTGCGTGATAGACTTAGAAACGAGGATATCCGTAGTAGAAACAGAGTAACTGACATAGCCAAACGGATTAGTAAGCCGAAGTAGTAATGGGTCGACCATATAGCTCGAAGAACCGACAAACGATGAGGAAGAAAGGTTCTCGAATGGCAGCCTCGTACCGGCGGGCGAAGTGTAAGGCGTCCCACTAGGTGTAGATGGAGTGACGACCTGTTAAGATATGCAGGAAGTCAATGGTTGCAGGTGGCTTGGGACCATGCTGTGTGGCGTTCCTTGGGGTAGGCCTATGTTCAGCAGTGGACTTGTGAAGGGCTTTTATAATTTTATTTCTGTAGGTATTCATTAAATCATTACAGTCTATCAAAAGTACATTGCTAAACATACTCCTCCCGCATGGTATGCTTCGAGGTGACATTTAGCATGGTTACCACTCTTGCCGACAGTAGTTTTTTAATATTTTGAGTGGTTATCAAGAGTATGCCGCTGCCCATCTCCAGTTTCAGTCAGTTGTCGCCTCTTATGACACCCACAGAATGAAAGGAACTAATTCCTAATTTTTATATATAAAAATTACGTGTCACATTGTTTGGCCGCGATGAACTCTTAAACTACTGAACTAATTACAAGGAAATTTTGCACACTGTGTGCAGTTTGTTCCAACTTGAGAGATAGGATAGTTTTTATTCCGATAAATGACCCTCAAAATTTTTATTGCGAATTTAAGGATTTTTATAGGAAGGGTCGTCGGAGAGGGCAGTACGACGTCTGCCTGGCGAGCTAGTTATTAATAATATCTTACAATTAAATAGTTTATTGAATGATAGTAAAAAGAAACATATTTTATCATTAATTAATTTTATTATACTCATAACATCTTTCTCTTATAATTACTCACTGTCTAATTCACTAGAATCATAATTTGATTATTAAAATAAATTTAAACAGATGATACAATTTAAAATACTTTTCTAATAAAAAAAACTTGTTTCAAAAGATTGTCAATAATGAAATAAAATAGGTAATCCGATCGCTGGGTTTATCAATACTTTAATTGAACTTTAGTGTTTGTATTATAGGTTAGGTATTGTAAATATATTTAGGGCTAGGTATTGTAAATTATTTTGAACTTCAAAATCAGACAACTGGAATTGGATAATTTTATTGTGTTTTGAATTAGTTCGATAACGGCTTAAATGCGTTTATTTTACATATTTCTAAAAAGTAAAAAACCGATATTTTATATTTTTTGCCCAATTGCATGTTATAGGAAATCTAAAACTGAATAACATAACTTTGTAGAGAATGCGCTTGTGCTTCTTTAAACCTTTAACTGCGTTGTAATTTTAACTTTAATTTATTTATATCTCGATTGATTTGAATACACAAATATCCCATTTGTTTTTTAAGACTAAATAATATGTGATTGAAATAACAAACACGACTTTAACTATTTGAAGTATGTAGGTAATTTACCTAATATGTGCACTTTCAGGAATTACGACTATATATTTAATTAAACGTGAGACAATTCTAACACACAATGTTATTTCAAAAAGCTATTAATTTGAATAGGTACATTCATTATCGATACACACGTCAATGAAATTTGTTTTAAAATATCTTTACCGTAGTTAAATCTACATAAGTAGAGAATTCTAGGTTTAAGTAGGTATTGCCATCGCGTAATACGACTTGATGGTGACTACGAGTTTTGGCACATGTACGACGTTCGTTAATTGAAATTATTTCATATTATGCATAGTATATTTCATATTATCTAAATATGTATTGTAATGTATGGGCAATAAACGGTAAATATGTTGAAATATACTACATGTTTAATTTCGGAATTCTAATGTTGAAAGAAAAGGAAGAATTTGTTTTGTAAATTTGCGAAGAATGTAAATTTTCGTTAAAGACTATATATATATTTATTATGCTTGTCATATAAAATATATATCATAAGATATAGAAAATATATAATAATTTGTACTTAAATAAAAATAAAATGTAAGTAAGTAAAGGTACTCTGCAGCAAGTTAATAATTTTAAGATCATGTAGATTTTCATATACTGAAATAACTTATTTTTCTATTGCCTATTTGTAGGCATATATTTTGAAAATATAAGAGTCTGATTATGTATTGAAAATAAATAAATAAATATATAAGAGTTAATATAATTTTTCATTTTATATCACTAAGTGATGATGAATAATTTTACGAATTCAATACAGCCGTACTATAATTTTTATTTAATATTTAGAATTATTTAGACATATTTATACTTAATTTAATTAAGTGAAGTTATTTTTACTCCATACAAGAATTTGATTTCACTTTGAAGATCACAAAAAGTATCACGAATACGCTCTCTACGGAATTCTAGCGCAGTTGGTTTTGCATGGGCAAATCTGTAGTTTGTATTGTTCTTAATGGTGTGATATTAGATAATGGTGGCATTTTTATTAATGAAGTAACGTTTTAAATATCGCTTTATTAAAAAGGTAGAATTTTAGTAGGTACAATTTTTAAGAAATCGCAATTTACTTTGCAATATTATGCCAATTTATCTAATAAATAGCTTTAGGTAGGAATGAAACTGAGAATTTGTCAACAGTTGAAACGCTGTAACTATAGTACTATTTTCTCTAACTATTAATAGTTAAAATTGATATCATGCAATAGGTTTCTTACGACTATTTATCTGTTGATCTAATCTCCTAGGAATATGAAATTTTGAACCGTGGAATTATTTAGAATTAGTTTCTAATCTCTTACAGACTAGGATATTAAATACATCGATTCCTATTTTTGGCAGTTACCTAACTTTTATATGTATACCAAATATAAGGTTTATATTTGACATATTGTTACAGAAATGAAAATTGACATGAGGAATGCATGGATAAAGAAACTCAAAACACAATATTTTAAATTGTTTCTAAGTTAGGGTTCGATAACCCTAACAGTTTTGAGTATTTAACACGTTCATAAATTTCTGTTAAAAATTATTTTAAAATATTAAATTATTTTAATATGATCGTATATGAAGTGTTCATTTATATATTGAATGCGTGAATAATACGCCTTTTCAAATAAATGTCAATTTATAAATTATTGGATATATTCTAGGAATTTCGAACTCCTACGGTTAACTTCAGTGCACGACATAAATATACATATACTTGAAAACACACCGAACTCAGTCACATTTAATTGTGTCGCAAACTTAAAACGTATACTTCTACAGATATTTAACGTATATGTGCAAGATTTCCAAAACTGTTATACTTTCTAGGTATTGAAAACTCGGTAGTTTTGTCAAGTTAGCGTTGCACATTGTTTATGTAGCTGTATACGTAGTCAAGTCGTACTATAAATCACACCACGCGCACCTAAATTTAGTCCAACAATCAAAATATAGTAAAAGATCTGATGACAATAACGTTATATATAAAGCATCACAGTAAGAAATCATCTAACTACGCGAATGTGCGTAATAAGTTTACAAGTTTAGACACTAACGGTAAGACGCTGCGAGAAAATTATTCTTTAGGTGGTAAAAGTTGTATACTGGGAGATACCTAGTAATCTCCCGCAGCAATAATTTCAATACTTTATAATTTAATAGATTATTTTGAATCTACTCACCATAAAACCCTGGTAGGATCTTATGAAAGAATTTTACTTATTTTAAACGCAATATAATTCTATAATATTATTTTTATAATTGCATTTTTTTTCTTGTCCTCTTTACTTTGCAAATGCAAAAAGTGACTAGATATTTAATTTAAGAAATTTTTTTCCTACATTATCGAGAATACAAAGAATTAAATATATTATTAAATTTGATTCTTCAGTCCCACGGTAAGTTTTAAGTTGAGCAGATATAAAAATCTTAGAACAGAATACCTATTTACAAAATACACTTTATATAGATAAAATTATTTACGGTCTTGTATACGCTTATAAAGTGGCTACATTTTTAAACATTAGTAAAAAATAAAAGTAAAGTCAATTGTTACATAAGTAGGTATATGTATGTTTATAACAACCATAAAATTAAAAACGATATGACGTATTGGTAACAAAGTGACTACTAAGTGTACTTTACACTATGTATCAACGAAACGATATTGGAACTAAAGGTTTAGATAAGGCTCATCATTATATTCATACATACATACTTAATATTCAAATATAATCTACACAACAGTGAATAAATTTAAAAAATTATTACACTAGACTCCAAATTCAACAAAATTTAGATCTAATCTACCATATATATACGAGCCAAATGCATGACATTGCAATGTCATTACAAATAGATGTCCTCCATAGAACAAACAAATGTTAGATCATGGTAATATTCCTGTTGTTATTATTTCGAGTGCTATGTGAGCCCGGCAATTTAAAGAAATTAATGTTAAAAAAACAGCTCACGAATATTTTCGGAAAATCACAAAGACCTTTAAAGAGATGTGGAAACGCGCTATCGATTTATAAATATCGAGCGAAACATTCCTAGTTATATTAGTATTGCCATATGTAGTGTGCAGCGCTGTAAAACGCGTTCACGAGTAGATGGTGATGACCTCGCGTCCTCCGCCGCGCACCATCAAAACTTTTTCCAATCCCTCTGTCAACACTTCTAGGAATTCCATATCTGTAAAAGATGGGATTATTAAAGAAATTTTTTTTTTTAATTCTTAAATATTAATAAAATCTCCAATACTTTCAGCGACTCTGTAGTAGGTACAATAATGGTTTTTATTTAATTTCAGTTATTTATCTAAAAAAGAGACTAAAGATCAAATATTTTCTAACCAATTATGGCTTTGGTGATAACTTTTCTAATTATTTCTCAAACGTCATAAAGGGTAGAATGTAATAGGGGATAACATGATACATGATAATAGGGAGTATGAAGTTGCCGTTTTATTGGAGTAGCCACTTTGAGTTAAAATTAAACCAAGATGTGTAATTTTTTTTACACAAAAACTATTTAATTCTAAATAAAAAAATATATTGCAAAATTCCAGGACATACATACAAGTGAAGTTGAATAAAAGATTTTAAAAATATGTAATTCTATTGTTTGACTTTCAATATGCGAGACATCAAAAATTAGAGTAGTTTTCGAAATTTCCGACTTGGTTCTCATGCAGCAGACACAGCTCGCACGAACCCATTGTGTTTTGTTTTGTTTAATCTTTATGGTAGTGGAAATGATCCATGAGGAAGACCTAAGGTAAATAAGGATGAATTTCAAGTATTGGTGGAAGCCGATCCTTATTAAACAACCGGAATAATAGTCGTGGTTAGGTCTACCTACAATATTGATCCATTTCCACCAAATTGGTTAAATAAAGAACTCGATATATGAATGCATTTTGATATGCAAACGGGAGCACGCAATAAATCTTGCCTTGCTTTGACGAGTAGGTACAAAAACTAATGGATTTTGAACATAATTGTGACGTGTAAAATAAAGTGGATTATCTACTATAATCGAAAACAAAAATCGTAATGACTGACCTAGGTCAAATACCGGAACAATGCCGTAAAGACAAATCTTACCCATGAGATAGTAATGGTAACTGTTTCGAGGTCACTGCATGGTGAAGTAACTATATAGTTAACTATAGCTTTCTTAGAACCGGAGAATCATTAACAGCAGATGTTTATAGTGAATACATTCAAACAATAATGGTCTACTCCCAGATATACCATCAAACTCTATTGTTGCATTGCTCTATGATAACGCAAGACCTCACACTACTCGGCAAACCGTTTTAATATTACAAGACATGCAGTAAGAAATCATTCATCATTCCCCGTACTTGCCAAACCTAGGCCCAACTAATTACCAATTTTCTGCCAGTTGGACAATTTCCTGGATGAATTTTTTTTCCTAGTCTATTTTAAAACCTAACATAAAGGCATAAAGAGAGTACATACATATATACTTCGATTTAATGAATAAATTTTCTCTTGGTAAAAAGGTGTTTGAATAATTCAATATAAAAAAGGCAATTACACACTTCGACTCGCTAATATTACAGCGCTACATTTATTTATTACAGCAGATCTCAAGTCATTGCTGAAGGTAGGTTTCCTTTATAGAGGGAATTTTGCCATGGTTGCCACGCTTGGCAAGCGGATACCTTTTGTCGCCTCTCACAACATCCACGGGTTAGTATGGGATAGAGGATTCCTTTGCCGCTACTTTACGGCGATTTGCCAAAGACTAATTTAGGTCTATGAGCAAGAGTCAACCTTACATAAGGTGGTTTGGTTTTAGGATGGGACATAGAGATCTGGTAACACCTCGATTCGATTAGATCGGAGCATAATATAAGTTAGTATTTCATTTAGTTGACACTCAAATGCTTAAATGATAAAAATACGAAGCGACTCACAGTTGGACTCCATTTCAAGCTCGGTGTCACGAGGTGGCCCCGGTAAGTTCAGTATTACTAGTTGTGCGTCGTGAGACCGGGATACTATTACTTCATTCAACTTCACTGCTGTGTGCATTTTTCTAACCGTACCCTCGTCACTGTACATCAACAATTAACAGTTCATTATGTTTTCTAATACAATTATTATTATAAAAATATCTGATGTACAAGTGAAACCAAGAGAAAGTGAGGAAACAGTAGGGATCTTCAATAACTGCAGTTGTAGTTATTACAAATATGATGGAATACTATTATCCAGATGGATGATGAAAGACACTTTTGTTTTTGCTCGTTAAAAAGTTACAGCCTATATACGTCCCACTGCTGGGCACAGGCCTCCCCTTATTTCTGGTAAAGTTAGTTTGCTCGTTAGCTGCTCTATTTTTTAAATTATATACTCGTATCTATACATAAAAATAAATAAAATTGAAGTGTCTGTTTGTAATGTTAAAATAACAGCTTTTTACTAAACGCATATGAAAGTATATATGGTACTAATAACAAGAAGAATCAATTTTTAAAATTTTTGTCTGTTTGTCTGTCTTTCTGTTTGTTCCGGCTAATCTTCGAAACGGCTGGACCAGTTTTGACGGGATTTTCACTGGCAGATAGCTGATGTTATAAGGAGTAAATTAGGATACTTTTGTTTTAGAAAAATAATTAGGGTTTCTGCAAACAAATTAAAACCCATGAAATCGTAGTAAATTCCACGCCGGCGAAGTTGCGGGAGACAGCTAGTTTTATTAATAACTAGCTGTTCGCAGTGACTTCGCCCGCATGTAATTTAGGGTTTTAATTTTTTTGCGAGGAATCGTAATTATTTTTCTAAAATAAAAGTATCCTAATTTACTTCTTATGACATCAGCTATCTGCCAGTGAAAATCCCGTCAAAATCGGCCCAGCCGTTTCGGAGATTAGCTGGAACAAACAGACAGACAGACAAAATTTAAAAAAAAGTGTATTTTTGTTATAAGTACTGTTTATGCTTTCCTATGCATTTAGTAAAACACTGTGATTTTGACATTACAAACAGACACTTCAATTTGATTTATCTGTATGGATTAGTGACCCACTACAACTTTACTTTAAGATAATCATGAAACTCCAACTGTTTAAATTAAAATAATACTGTGTACATCACTCTTGGCATTGCTTTCTATCTGTTTATCAGATTCATTACAATCGGTTTAGCCATTGAGAAGATTAGCTCGAACAGACAGACAAAAATTTAAAAAATGTTTATTCATGTTTAATCTCATTCTAATATCCTCAGCTCAATAAAAGGCAGTTATTGCAATATTACAGACTGAGAAACTTCAATATTATTTATATGTATACATTTACTGGTACAGTACCGTAAGCAGTCAAGAAAGGCAATAAATAAGAAACAGAAATACACCAAAAAGTCATATTAGTCGTTATTCAACTTAAATGGCTAAAATTAAAAAAAAATTATGGTATCATAGATATACCAAGATTTTACAAATTCTTAGATTGTGTACACTTAAAGAAAAAAAAAGTTAACTTACGGTGTGATATTTGGCATGTTGGGCTTAGATTTCATCGCGTCACCGTTGGGGTTGGTCTCCTTATTCTTATCAGCGTCATGAGGCGGCGACGGTACTCCCTCACACTGCGACTGTTCATCGGGCGAGTCCCACAATGAATCGATTATGTGCAACAAACTACTTCGGAATTCGTCCTACGTTATTCCAATTGATATTTTTTTCGTTTATATTTAAATTTCGAATCGCGACCCGACGTTGCACATGACGGATTCAAGGCGAATGAAACACGGGATGTCATATATTACTTTGATTGTTAAACAACTGACTACGGACATTCAAACATCCAATCTCTTATCTAATGTGAGTAACAAAATGAACTAAAGTGAACAAATCAACGTGAATGCACACTGCCAAACATATGACCACCGTGTGTAAATTCGCAAGGACTCGCTATGATTATTATGATGATGAGTAAATCAGAATAAAAAAAATAAAAGTGATCATGAAAGTGCAATTAGCAATAAGTACTCTTCATAATGACCATTTCCACAAAAGTTGATTTAAGAATAATAATAACCGGCCAAATTCAAATCGGACTCGCGCATGAAGGGTTCCGTACCATCGTAATTTTTTTTTATAGGATAAGGGTGACAAACGAGCACACAGTCCACCTGATGGTAAGTGGTTACTGCGGCCCATAGACATCTACATCTATCCTATATTACAAATCAAAATGCAGATGCGTTGTCATCCGTAAGGACTAAGATGGAATGCCTCATTTCCAGTAAAAAGGGCCTCCGGCCACCTGCACTCACAAAGCGAAACGCAGAGGTAAAACTCTACTTCACGCTGGTATTCTGTGAGGTCGTGGTACCACCCCGGTTCGAGACGGCCCATCCGTGCGACAGCAAAAGCTGCCGCGTGGCTCTACCACTGTAGACAATATAGAATACACGTTTCTAGTAGAGGAGCCCCTTGTAATTTTATTTTATTTTTATTGCTATTATTATTATATAGTGGCAACAGAAATACATATTCTGCGAAAATTTCAACTGTCTACCTATTACGAATCATGAGATACAGCCCATCGACAGACAGACAGATGGACAGCGGAGGCTTAGTAATAGGGTCCTGTTGGTTACCCTTTGGGTACGGAACCCTAAAAACTATTACTACTTAACACTCGTAAATTATGCAATTTAAAACAACTGATATGGATATGGTTCATCAGTATGAATTTATTAATTAACATGAATTAAAAACACCCAATTTTTATGTAAAACTGAAAAGACGTCGCGCATCAACATTATAATATATATATATATACGTAGCACTTCAAACTAAAGTATGAAATGACGGAAATTGGGCTCGTTTTAAGCAGATACATGGATGTTTCACACTCAATTACAACATCAGACATAACATATTACTCTAGCTTCTACGGAAGTATGATTATATCAAATCACTTGAAATGTATTTTGTATAAGTGTGGTTGTGGTGGTTTTATTTTGTAGTTTAAAATATTTTACTAGTTATTGTAGACTTCAAAAAAGTGGAGGCTTAACTGCACAATTTGTACGTATATAACATTATATCTTTTTTATTTCCGTTCGTTCGTATCTTTGATTTTGGTTATTTGTTTTTTTTAATTAAAAAGTCATCACATGCCTCTCATTTGAATTGAAAGGGATAATTCCAGTTGCAAAAAAATAGAGGATGAAATTTTAAAGTAGCTATATGCTCAATGTCATAGTAGTTATAGTCCACTCAAAGGCGCCAAATATTTATTAAACTTTAAAAAAAAGTAAAAACGAATTTAAAAACTAAAAAGACCTTCAGACAGTATTAAATTATTTAATATGACGGTGGCGCAGGGTTCGAAGATTGCGATACATATTTTCATCACGCGTTCCTCAATACTTGAGAACAAAAGTGTACAATCGAAGCCTTGTGCCAGTGATGATTTAATATGGCTCTGAGTAGTGGTCCTTTGCTGCTGGTTTTATGCAAAATGTTAAAGCCGCTCTGCGACCTACGAGTATGGAGAGAGCTCCACTCGCGGTTTCGTGCGTCATACAATTTGTAATGAGACTTCGAAGTGAACAAAGGAAATCCAAGGTAGGAGCAAGCTGAAGTTTCAATGGGTCGGCGATGCAGTTTGAAGAACAAACATCTGATGGGAAATAAAGGCAGTTAGGAAGTCGATGGGTGGTCAGGACCGCGTTTCCCCGAGGGAAACCTATGTTCAGTAGTGGACTATTGAAGGCTGTAATGATGACGAGTTTTTTGGAGATGGTATTTACATTATTTTAAAGTTTAATTATTTCAAGAAGTGAACTTGTATTATTGCATAATATTTTTTATTTCTAATGAAAAATTTAATACCAAACCATGTTCGTTTACTGATAAATATGATTTTAAAACGTGTGTTATGTGTGCAGATCATGCTGTTGTCTTTATTATTAAGTCAGTTTATTATCACCTTATCATCTTTGTCCTTTTCGTCATTGTCAGTGAGGGGTGGTGAAGGAGCGTCATCAGGCACTGGTTCACCAGCGCCTGGTTCTGCAAATCGGACTTTGCTTGCCGTCTTTACGTCGGCATGATGATGATCCACAATTGCTTGCACCTGCACATGTTTCATGTTATTATAAGTCTTGAACAATTCTTGAGTAGATATATTAAGATTTTTTTTTTATAATAAAATAGTGATTATACCGAGTGTTTTTACATTGGATAAAGTGATTAAAGATAGCTAATGAATTCCTAATTTGTAATCTGCATAATTCCACTGAAATATCTAAAGATCGTTTTAAAGATTATGCGCACTTATGCGCTAAACTGTACCAAAGTGCAGCTTATCATTAATTAGATCCAAGAGTGGCTCTCGTCCAAGTTATCACTCGTTAGATCTAGATATCACTCGTTAGAGATAGAATATCAAAAATGTTTAAACAATTATAATAAAAATTGTACTAAAGTGCAATTGTATAACAATGGCAATTTTAAAGCACAGTACGCAAAATGATATTAGTTATGAAGTACATGTGTGTATGAAAAACTATTTTTACTTTTCGAACATATATTCACCTAAGAATATATGGTTAAATGTTTAAGTAGTAAGTTAAGACACAGAAATAGAAATAATATTAAAACTAGAAGTGTGCATTTGATTGAAAGTTATGGTTGAGTACAGCATCACAGCGTGTATTAGATAAAACAACAAAGAAATGGAAACATCAAAAGCAAGCAAGAAAATTGTCTTTTCACGTTGCGCATTGAAGAAACGTTGTAAATGCATGGAAAATATGAAAGAAAATGAAATTAAAGCCATACACAAACAACAGAATGTTAATTAAGATTGACGGCAACTTCGTTATTTATCCAGAAGCCGTAAATAATGAAAAGTCTAATATGATAGTAGTCATTCACACAGCTTATTTACTAAAATTTGAAGTATGAAACGATTATTTTTATAATGAAAGAACTAAATGACAACATCGATTATATCTAAAATGCAGGTAAGTGGACTGGATCGAGGGTAAAGTATCCTTTTTACCAGAGGTAACTTCTCTTCAGCGTTTGGTTCGTGATAGTCCACCAAATTTTGCATCTGTGTTGGCAACCATAGACAAACATTATGTTAGTTATATAACAGTAAAGCTATAAATATATTAAGCGACAGATATTTGTACATATTATACAAATTAGCCTTGACAACAGCACAAACTTTTTTTAGACGAGTACACAAAAACTTTAGGTGATTGCATTGATAAATATTTTTCAAGAGTTTTCATTGAAGTAAAAGCGATACTAACCATTCCGAGAGTTTCTTTCTTATTGAGTCTAAGTTCTCGAAGCATTTGGTTGCGTTGTTCCATCATCAAAGTGCGTTCGTAGGTGTAAGCGGAAATGTCACTATCCGTCTGCAAAATTGTTAACATTAGTTAATGCCTAATCTTATTTTAAAATCAATTTTTGCCTAATATTTCACAATTTACTTGTTTGAGTAGCAATTTTAAAACATTATTTCAATTTTATTTTTTAAATATATATATATATATATGTATTTATTAAACGACACAATACTTTAACAATGACAAATATTTTGCATAAATTTTAATTATTACCATTTCAACTACTTCAACTTCAGCTTCAAGGCGTAGTTGATATAAGAACATCTTAAGGTCTTTCTTCATCTGAATGGAGTTATCCTCCAACAGAGCTACAGTGAAGATGCGCATCTTACAGTTCTTCCAAGTGCGGTGTTGTTTCAGAAGGAATGGCAATAACATCAGCATGCCACCATCGTGTACTATCCACCAAATATCAATGTTGCCAGATATCTGATAAAAATATACCCTTGTTTGTTATCACAAATATATGTTTTTCAATAATACCACATTTAATTAAGTAAAACACTATAAGTGTTACCATTATTTAAAATATTATCAGTAGAAACTAGAAAATCGTTCTAACCTTTTCGGTGCTATCAGGAAAGAAGTTAATTCCTTTTGGTACAAGCATTACCATTCTCGCAGCGGTGACGGTACGTACGGTGTCTAGAAATACTTCCCATGTGCGTTTGTCTTCCGATTGCCTCCAACCATAGGGCCAGCCCACAATTACCGTATTCGGTTTAAGCCCTCCTAAGCCCGATGTCTGGATACTGTTGCAAATAAACAAACAATACTTTGTTTTGATTTGCTTTTTTACGTGGTAGGGCACGCTGCAGCTATATTATGGTTGTAGCACGAATGAGTTGGCTCCACCGGAGTAGGATCACGCTCTCACGGAATACCAGCGTAAATTAGCAGCTTAATGCTGCTGTATTTGGTATGGTAAGTTGAGAACTGGATACCGGAGATTTTTACTGAAAATGAGGCATTCCATCTCAGTCCCCAGGGGTGACACAGCATCTGCATTTTGATTCTTAATTGAGGATACATGTAGATATCTATGGGCCACAACATCCCCTTACCATCAGGTGAACTGTTTGCTCGTTTGTCACCCTTGTTCTATTTAAAAAACAATATTTTAAAGTACTACAGGAGAGAGGACTGTTATCGATTCAATATTGTTTAAGTTGAGGTTTACTTATTATCACTATTAATAAGATATGTATGATAGAGCTATCTCATTTAAAACATTATACGAGATATAATACTGAAATTTAACATTTTTAAAATGTTATAAAACTTACAAATGACTAAGTCCATCAGCAATATTGTGAGATACGAGTACATCTACGAAGCCTTTTACTTTTTCCTCATCCATAACTCTACGTAGATTTTGTTTGGCAGTCAATGCATCGTTAGAACGACGTGGGAAATCTCCACCAAGCACTGACACGCAAACTGTCAATCCTTTTCCTAAAATATTAATCATAAATTAATATTTCTAAAATAATATCGCTAAATAATTAAAGTAAGATTTATTTTAATAGTGTTACCCGCTTTAAGTTGACTTGCGAAAGCTAACATTTTTCGATACTTGGGATTCAAATCTACATTTAATTTCGCAAGTACTAAGACCTGTGGGCGCCAGTTCTTAGTATGTGGAGGACCTTCTTCTAGACGTAACAAAGAATAACGAGCAGCCGATAGGGCAAGACCGCGCAAACCATCGCCCCATTCTTTCTCCGCACTAAAAATTAATTTGATTAATTAGAATGTGACACTTTTTCAAAGTAAAAACAGAGACCATAGAATGATACAAACCCGCGATATTCAATGTATTTATAGATGAGACCTGCCATACCCATGGCAATCAATGCGTAAAACCAAGATGTCATAAACATGATGGAAATACATAACGTTAACCCAATAAAAGAAAGTGACCTGAAATAGTGATATAAAAATGGTTTCAATTATCGGAATACAAAGAAAATGGTTAAACTATTTTGTTTAATAATATTTTAATAAAATATTGTTACCAATGATAGTATTTGAATCGTGGACGCCAGTTGGGAGTCTTCAATAGAGTTTGTAGAGCACATGCCAAGTTTACGAAGCCGTAGCACATTAAAAAGAACATTGAGAGAAGCGGCGCAAGTATGTCGACATTACCGAGGAGGATACCGCACTGGCAGATGACCATAGTCAACAACAGTGCTCTGTGTAGATGAAAACATTGTACATGTAATTTTTTTGTTAAAATCACTTCCTATAGGTGGTATATTAAAATAATAAAAGTAGTAAATATATTTTATTTGTTACCTGGTGGGTTCACCTCTGCTAGATGATACAGCAAAAGGTGCTAGAAATGGTATTATTTCATCCTTAGCAATGGCTTGCAGCAAGCGAGGAGCTCCAGTTAACGACTGCAATCCAGCTCCAAGGGTCGAAAGAAACGACCCAACTAAGATCACCCACTGGTTTGGCCAAGCCATGTTTGCTACTACCAGTTTTCCTCCAATAGATTGACCAAATCTATAATAGAAATTAGGTTCACGTAATTCAAAGCCGATATCATATTCCCATATTTGTAAGCATAAGATCTTAACCAGATAATAAGTGGGATGTTTAATTTATTTATCTTCTGTGAAGCCCATAGCCTTATATATATCATTGGTGAATCGGTTTAAAATGAGTCTGAACTGGTTCAGAATTTATGAGAAATAGTAAATTCCAATTAAAATTTAGTGAAAATTTTAATTTTAGCAAAGATTTACATCATCTCATGTTGTTAAGAAATAAATCTACATAAAAACTACGCCAATCATGTTAAATAATATAAAGTTTGCCTATCAAACAGCACTGCTGGCACTAAGTTCAAACTTAGTATATTTTAAGCTAGTAGGAGTCTTACTAAACCGTTTAACAGTCAGAAACTCAAAACAACAGTCGTTTTAAGATTAAGACGTGTACTAGGATAAGCGAGTGTAGTGGGCAAAGTACAGGTCGACAAATTTGAAAGAGCTGTGTATAAAAGTTAGTTTTGACCATTTTTTTACGTTTTCAAATGCTTGACTGAATCGAAGCTCTTTATTACACGAAATCTTTTGGTATCTAGTACAAAACACTAGGCTTTAATCACTTCGAAAGTCATTTGTGAGCTTAAGAAAAAATATATTATTTATGAGAGAAAATTTGCTTCATAAGCCCTAGGAATAATAAAGATAGTCCAGAAAAAGTGAATGCTCTCACAGTTGAGTAATCCTTGCGATTTGTTCCAAGTGTTGGGCTTAACGTTAAACTACAGCAATAATAGTGGTCGCAGTAAATCAAAAAAATTAAAATGTTACTTACTTATCTCGTAGTAACAGATTATCCACAGTACCGGCAAAGAGCAAGACACAAGAAAGGTAAACAGTAGAAGTTGTTAAAATTGCACAAATTGTTCCAATAGGGATACTCTTTTGAGCATCTGCTAAATCACCGGAACGATTTGACCCAGCCATAATACCTTAAATAAATATTAAAAATTAGTTATATATTTAATAAAAATAAGTACTAAGAACCTTATAATATTTTTATAATAAATATATTACAGAATTAATTAATGCTGAAAGTTATTACAAAATATATAAAGTTTACTTTTTATCTTACCAGTAACTGATGGGAAAAATATGCCTATCAAAATAGTGAAAGTGGTCGTCAGGTCAGCGTATACTTGATTGTATGTGGGCCTTTCCATTTGTTCGATGTCCTCGGGTTCCTTGCCATATGCGATATATTCTCCAAGTGTGAGAAATGAATCATGTAGATTGTCGAAGAAGACGCCACTAGCCAAACCCTTGAAACGATTGAAAATTTATATGTCAAAGTTTTCACTAAATATGTAATATAACATTGCATATAAATTTTAGTTTACCTTAATTCCCTGAACAACGCTAACATTATGACTCTCGTAGTAAGGATCACAAAGGTTATTGGGACAAAACAATTGATGCAGTTCGCCTCCCGTTTCCTTTGTACAGTTATCGATGCTAATATCCTTAAGCAGCCGTTTTCCGAGGACACACATTCTAAAAGTGAAATAAAAGTAGGTTATATATATATTTATAGGATAAAGGTGACAAGCGCACATACAGTCCACCTGATGGTGAGTGGTTGCTGTAGCGCATAGACATCTACATCTATCCTCGTTTGCGATTCAAAATGCAGATGCGTTGTCAGCCGTGAGGATTAAGATGGAATGCCTCTTTTCCAGTAAAAAAGGTCTCCGATTCTCTACACTCACCATACGCAACACAGCAGCATTAGCTGCTATTTTACGCTGGTTTTCTGTGAAAGCGTGATCTTACCCCGGTCCAGTCGACCCATTCGTGCTACAAGTATACAATTAATATAGCTGTAGCTTAAAAATATCCATATGTAAATATATACTTAAAAATATCCAAATATATTAAAAAGTAAATATTTATGAACTTTAGCAACAAATTAAAATTTAAAATATCTTACTGAAGAGCGGTGCTGCCGTTGAAATTTACAAAAATGCCAGCGTAGACAGCAGAGATTGAAAGAATTACACAGGCCAACGCAATAGTTGCGAACTTGTTTACAAATTTCACTCCCACAAATACCACCATCCCCATTATAAGAAGTAGCCCGGTCCCGTAAACTCGAAAGTTGTTATACATTGCATCAGGATCTTTTGTGAAATCTCCAAATATTGACATCCATGGAGCCATATACGTCTGTAAAAAAGGATTAGACATGTATATATTAAGGGGATTAAATTTTATGTAAATTAATTTTTAGTCAACAAATATAATATATAAATATTAATTGTAAGAAGATGCATCAACAGAAATATATTGTGCAAAATGTTTTACATAATTTTTAAACAAAGGAAGAATAAAATAATAAAAGATTTTCTATGCTTCTTTTGACTTTATAATTAGTATATGCACGTCGATCGAGCTCTGTTTAAGTGCAAAACATAGTTCAGTTAAACGAATGGAATTTGTTTTGCACTTAAACAAATAATGGATTGGATTTATCACTCTGCACCCATCTTTCCATCCATAATGTTGTTTACGTATATACTGTAGTACATGTTTTATTATTTGCTATTTTTTACGGATTTTATCACGTTTAATTTACTATTTTAATTTCCAACGTTTCGTGAGCTTTACAGCAACCCATGGTCACGAGTCACAGTGACCGAGTGAAGCCGACTACAGTCGAGCGTGTGCCTGCTGTACTACCCTACGTCAAAGGGGTCACAGACAAGGTTGGCTACATTTTGAAGCGCGCTTCTATTAAAACATACTTCGAATCGCCGAAGAAGATCAGTCAATTTTTACCATCCGTCAAGTGTAATATCCCTCTACAAGATGCAGGAGTGTACAAGCTTGATTGCGAATGTGGTCTCTTTTACATAGGACAAACAAAAAGATCCATTAAAACCCGCGTGAAAGAACATATAGCTGACGTGAAGCACTGACGCTCTGAGAAGTCTGCAGTCTGTGAACATGTTCAAGATCGTCCCCGCCATTACATCAGATTTGATAGACCACAAATCCTCTCAAAAGAACACCGATACCTACCAAGAATGATACGCGAGGCTATTGAAATTAAAAAACATCCTAATTTCAATAGAGTAGATGGATGGGTGCTGCCATCTGCTTGGGATCCTATAATTAACAAAATTAATTTCAAATAGCCTAAGAACTGGCGACGAATTTTGGGAAGGTCCTTTGGGCAAGTTGAAATTGTGAAAAAATATAATTTCGTCAATTGTCGAATCCAGTCCCGCGAGTCTGACAGAGCGTTTGCGGTTATTTTGTTACTGCGCAGCATATAACATTTGCAAAAAAATTCCAAAAAAATGTTTTTTTGGCAACTTGATTTCTTTTTTATCTTTTAATTTAGTTTTTATATAATTCAAAAAAAAATAATCCCAGACGTTTTTGTCGGTTATAAAGTATTACCAGACCTCTTGAAAAATATGTTTTTTAATTCCCAAAAAATATATTTTTGGCAATCTCAAATTTTAATCACGTATTTATTGAGTTATTTTTAATAATACCTGCAAATCATCAGACGAATTTAGCGGTTGTAAACAATTCCCAGACGTGAATAAAGTTTACCAACTAATACGACAAAAAAGTCTTATGCGTAGCCATAACTGTGACATTAGGACGTCAAACATCTCAGTCCCCCCCGGGACCATGGGTTGCTGTAAAGCACCCGAAACGTCGGGTATTAAAATAGTAAATTAAACGCGATAAAATCCGTAAAAAATAGTTTTATTCAATGTGTAGTGTTCGCGTAAATATAAGAAATCACTATATCTTAAAATTATTAATAATAAACACTTGGACACCTGCCTACAAAAATAAAATGATTTTATTTTTCCACGTGAAAGTTAGCATATTGGCTTTTGCTTAGTGTAGTGCGTCATAAAATTATCCCAATTCTCCTTACCAACACAATTTCAACAGCACCGACGATGTACATGGCGGCGGCGAGAGTAGTCCCCGTATAGAAGAGCATGCCGACCGCACCGCCACATTCCGGGCCCAGCGAGCGGCCGATCATGAAGTACGACCCCCCAGCCGGCACTACGCCGTTCGTAGCAATCGCAGACATCGATATAGCCGTTAGCATAGTCTAAAACAAGGATAATAACGTTATCTTAATTAAAATTGTTAAGTGCGTCAGGTTGCAGTCAAATTACTTGATACTCAATTATAGATCTAACTACCTAACCTCACCCATACGCTGTGCCTGCTAAGTAATTTATCTAAAATCTATCCAAAAATATTGAAGCGCTAAAGCAGTTTTGCACGAGTATCGGCTCTGTTCTCTAATTCATCTGCTCTTTTCTTCCTTTTTGGTTCTTCAAGCTATATGGCTGGCAATTTGCCACTTCAGCTCACTGATCCGCTGGGCTATGTCAGTTATTCTTGTTCATTTTGTTCTTCTTGTTCTTTCTCACAGAGAAATTCCGAGCATATAGCTTTTTCCAACTCACACAGAGTCACTTTGAGCTTACTAATACGGCCAGCGGTGAAGTACCACCTTTTGGTCCCGTAGGTTTTCACTGGCAAAACGTACTAGTTGTATACTTTTGTCTTAAGGTTCCGAGAGATATACAACAAGATTTGTCGCAGTTTCCCGAACGTAAACCAGCGTTGGATTGATTCGTCGGTTAATATTTTGGTCGAAGTTCGACTTACCTTTGAGCGCGTTCCCAGAAACAACCGGTATAGGTTTAACTTATGATTTTATCTTGTTTATATCCATCTTAAGATCTGCTGAAAAACTACTGTAGTTGTTTAGCATATTGCTAAGGTTCCCCAGGATATCTGTCATAAAGACTACATCTTCGGCAAATTAAAGTTAAATGATTTATTCTTGAAAACGTCTTCCAATGCAGCGGTGAAAAGTTTCGAGGATGTAATGTCACTCGGTCTTATACCTTTCTGCTGCAGGTTTTATGCTCTGGTTTTGTACTCGAATAGACACCTTACTATAAAAGCACTTAAGCACCTCGTAATATCAACATTCAACTTGGCATGAAGAGACTGAAGTGCCCGCCCAAACGCCGATTGCATCGAAAGTCTTCACATAGTCCACGTAGGCCAGACATAAGGTTGATTATACTCTTCAGTGTTATGTCTAATCTGCCGAAGAGTATATGTATGTAGTTAACGGTAGTAAAACTTTTTCGGAAACCGGCTTGTTCGGGCGACTGGAGGTCGAGAGGTCTGCGTGGGAGACGATTCGTAATGACTCACACGCGACAGTAGTTCTTCAAGAGGGCTTTATCAACTTTCTTGAAGAATAAACTACCACATTTTTGCTCTACAACTCCGGCGTAGGACCACCTTGAAGGACGGAATTAAATAGCTTCTGAAGGAAAAATTCTAATGTATAAAAATTCATTTTTGTTTTTTTCGTATTTATTCCCTGCCATATCGTTCATCATATTGCGTTAAAACTTTGTCAACTTATTGCTGGAACTTGCGCGAAGGTTATAGGCATAGTACAATTAAATTACAGTAGGTGGCGCGCGTTTCATACCGATAAATTTATTTGAAAGTTATATATCACTCAATTTCAATGAATATATTATCATTCATAATTAAACAATAAAACTGTTCCAAATTTGAAACGATATTTCCACAATTGTTACTTCTGCGGTAGCAACGCGCCGGGCATTAGTTAGTATTGTATAAAAACATTGTTTATATATGTTACGCTTACCGTACAGCAGCAGATGAGCACTATTAGAAAGCCTTGTATAGCGCCGGCTGTGCCGACAACCCACGTGAGACGGATGAAAAGAATAACGCCGAAGATATTCTGGATACAGGGCAAGTAAACACCGATCAGGGTGCCCATTCGAGCTGGAGGCGCTGGTTTAGGGGCATCCGGGTCCGCAGCTGATGCAGTCGGTATGGTGTTGGAGTAATCCGCCAAGGAGCTAAGGAATGTCGCGGCGCGGGGGCGGTCTTCGATTTCCTCCTGTAATGATGAAACATTAAGATGTGATTTTGATTGACATTTTTTTTATAGGATAGGGTGACAAACGAGCACACAGTTCACCTGATGGTAAGTGGTTATTGTGACCCATAGACATCTACATCTATCCTCAATAAAGACTCAAGATGCAGATGCGTTGTCACCCGTGAGGAATAAGATGGAATGCTTCTTTGCCAGTAAAAAGGGTCTCCGGTTCTCTACACTCACCATACGAAACACAGCAGCGTTAAGCAGCTATTTTACGCTGGTATTCTGTGAGAGCGTGGTCCTTCCCCGGTCGAGCCGACCCATTCGTGTTACAACTATACTACTAATATAGCTGCAGCATGCCTCTACCACGTATAATATTAGGATAAGATAAATAAAAAATTAGGATAACATAAAAAAATTAAAGATTAAGTGATATGCTTATAAGTTTCAGTTAATATGCAAATGCTTTCTTTAGTGAAATTGTATTTTAAATTTTTTGCAAAAAAAAGAAGTAATTAAATGTTAAGTCGTAATAAAATTTGGTTAGCCACAAAAAAAGCATTTAAATCATTTGCAATAAAAAAAAAGCGGATTAAAAATGGGTGAGTTAACCTTCAAGTGCCCTTTGTACTCGTACGCCGATGATCAATTCATACTTGCGTCGTCGGCGGCCGAATTGCAAATGATGGTTACATTAATGAACAGGTCATTAAAAGAGAGGAGAATGAAAGTGACTTAAAGTAAGGCGAAAGTTATTTTTGAAAGAGAAGAAAGTAAACGATATATGAAATAAGAATAGAAGGGGAATTGGTCGAGCAAGTTATTGGTTATATATAGGTATATAGTTAAATTTGTAAAAATATGGAAATACGTTCCACGTAATACCAGCGACATTAAGTTAAGGTGTGGCTGGGGTGGCCCTTGGGCAAAGCCGAGTACATTTTTTAATAATAATAATAATCTTTATTATTATTATTATTAAATTTTTTTATTATTTATTATTTATTAGTTACTTACCCTCTAAGTGCTTATCAAAATTTTATAAACACGAGTCACTCATTGCAGCTTATATAATTAATATGCTGTACTAAAAATTTATAGCCATTCAGAATGTCAAAAATTGCCGATTGATTTAATAATGTTTTCTAGCCATGGTTGGCTGACTAAATATCTATTTCTACTGCTAGATTACATTTCTCTGCTGATAAAAACATAAATAATACCTGGTAATATTTGTAGGCGCTCCTATAAAATACTGGTTGGATCGAGAGTGAGCGAGAGGTTATGTGACTCTAACGAAGCGCCATATCGATGGTGGCGGGGTAGAATTTAGGGTAGCTTGGGAAACCCCCACTCGTTTATGTATAGTATAAAGTTCACAGTACGCGTCGTGCGCGAGAGATTCCGTGTAAGTCATTCTACGAGTGAAGCCATGATTCGAGTGCTGGGATACGTAGAGTGACGGCGTCGTGGTTCTGTTGGTTGTGGTGATTCTTCTGGTGCAGCCAAGGAGAATGGTGTTGCTTAAAGGCTGCTCTGTGTTACACTGATATGTGTAGTGTTGTTGGTTTATATTTTGGAGTTATTATGTAATTACGTCCCTCATGTTACAGTAATGTGTAACTGTGACGGGGACATATTACGTCATGGTCGTACTGTATTGTTTTATATTGAATGTATAGTGCAGTACGCTATTTTATTGCTGATAATGTTTAATTGAGTAAACAAGAGAGCAAGTTGAATATCTGCTCTCACATTTTTACTATTTTTAACCATTAACCTTAACCTCCTGATATATTTCCAAGATCAAAAGTAGGTTTTTCTGACGTATTTACTAGATATTAGTAAAAAAGTCCCATTCGGGTTCATGCTGGTGTTTTACTTGGACTGAGGTATTTCCGAACAAAAGTAAAATACAATTCAACAAGTTTTATTTTATAATCAATGTTGAATAAAAATTGTTATATTCTGTTCTATGTCATTCTATACAATTCTTTATTATTAGTGTACTGGTTACAAAAAAAAACGTAAAGCGAGATTACCAAAATTGAGTCCAAAATAATTTTAATACTCGATATGAAATATGGGATGAATAGGCTTTGTAAAAAATAAAGAAAATGTAATATCCATTCCTAAGATGGTATTGAGCTTATTAATTAACATTTCAAAATATGATGCTACCATTTCATTTAACTAGAACGGAGCTGAAACATAGATTAATGAAATATTTTTGAAAAGAGGATTTATGTTCTTTTACCAAAAAGGACATAATATAATTTAAACTTTACTCTTCGAATGGTTGTTAATTAAAATTGCATTTGAAATAATTAAAAGAAACAATTCTCAAATTGATTATTTTACCATTTACTCATAGATTGTGAGGGAACACATTGTAAGGATGTACGTCTGAGTTAAGAAATATTCGAACGGTAACAGAATTTCATGAAATTCATTTCCATACTTAATATCAAAAAAAGCTATTTATGTATTCTTTTATAAAGTAAGGGTGTCAAACGAGCACATAGTCCATTTGATGGTAAGTGGATGCGGTGGCCCATAGATATCTACAACTATCCTCGATTAAGAATCAAAATACAGATGAGTTGTCACCCCTGAGGACTAACATGGAATGCCTCATTTCCAGTAAAAAGTCTCCGGTTCTCCACGCTCACCATACGTAACACAGCAGCATTTTAACAAAAACAAAAAAAGCAGGCTACTATTTTATATGCGCGTATGTTTATACGAGTATACAAGAACTTGTCCACTATCCGTAATTTTATTATACACTATTTAAATTTTGACATTCTAGACGGAATTTGTCTTTGTTACCCCTTGTTGCTTAGAATAATCCCGCCTATACTTTGGTAGTTTGTCTAACTAAGCTTTCGCAACATCTAAAAAATAAAATAGACTTAATTATGATATTTTAACATATCTTGACTTATTGCTGCTGTTAAAATAAAGGGAAAAACAGTGATTTAGTTATGAAACGAAATGTATGTATTATGTAATCAGACAAAGTACGTACACTCTACGTAACTTGTCGATGGAACGAGACATGAAACTCGCTCCGAGGCGCTCGTATTTTATTCACGTGCCATTTGCATCGTTTGCCGTGAGCTTGTTCCATGCGTCCGGGGAACCATCACTGGTTCAAGCGGTCGGACTATTTCTCAGTCAGTTAAACAGTGACTTTGATATATGCGAATCATATTTCAGCGTGTATTTACGTTTCTTTTATTATTATTTCAGTTTCTTACAAAATATTTTGCGTATTAAAATCGGAAATAGTAATAATACAACAAATTCAAATCATATTTTCTCGCTACCATATTAATACATTAATTTAATTATTTTTTGTTGATTATTGTGCATTACTAATAAAAGCGACGTCAATTTAAGAAATGCTTAAAGTTGTTCTTTCTCTTTTCACAAAATGACAATAGGACACATCTCGTTTATTTCACAGTATTTTGTCAATACAAAGCCTTTTTAACATTATTAATTCAAGGCTTACTTATAAAGTAATATTTAACCACAATTTGAGCCATCACCACAGATGGATTTAAATTTTAATGTATTCATTTAATTGAAAGTTGAAATATATAAATTATTTTGTTTAAGTATATAATATACATGTAGGTATAATAGAAGCAAAAATGTATTTGGACGATTTTCTATATAATGGCTATGCCTTTTATATTAGTATTTAATAGATATTATATTTTATTATTTAATGTTCATACTATGTAGCACTCAGAAAGTAAGAATGTTATTTTTAATCAGTCACTGTAATTATAATACCACATCCATTTTTATAGTGCCACTAACTTCTCAATGAAACAGCAACAAGAGCAACACGTCCGCCATTATAGGAGGATTACTTAAGTATACGTTAATTAACGGTTATAAGTAAGGCCGTATATTCTTAAGTAAGAATAAAATAATTTGAAGATCTTACGAACGTCGAAATCTACCGGTTCAAAAAACACCTCACGGCATACACCTCAGTCCCCCCCGTGACCATGGGTGCTGTAAAGTGCTTGAAACGTCGGGAATGTAAAATAAGTTAATATACGCGATAAAATCCGTAAAATTAGTTTTATTTAAACGGTTCAAAAAAGTTGACCTCCACAGCTAAGAACCGGCAAAAGCCACTCATTAGTCATTCTTTTCTTTTTTTTCTGCTTCTTCATTAGACCGCAAACATCTATAGCTTAACGTGGGAAAAAAGGAGCTAGCTTTTAGAACAATATGCTTTAATGGCCACTTTCGTTTGGCGATCGCAGTGCAGCGCACCTTTAACTTTTCCGTCGCAGTTCAGGTTACTTTATGTCTATTAAATAAGATAACTCATCTATTGAAAGCCATGAGATTTTGCCGGGCTTTCTTGTAAGTCGGTTCCTAGGACACTCACGAGATAAAATAGGGTGACGAATATGCTTACAACGCCTTGTATAACGCTTTTCTTTTAAAGAAAAGAATAATAATAATTCAATTTATTTCAGCAATAGTATTAGTTACAATAGTGTGAGTAACGATCCAAGAGCAAGGCGAGGATAGAATTACAGCGGGGCTTCTGAAAGCGGGTGGAAAACCGGCACATGAAGTCCTTCAGAAGCTCTTTAATTCTGTCCTCCATGGTGGCACTACACCGGAGGCGTGGAGCAGAAGTGCGGTAGTTTTGTTTTTCAAGAAAGGCGACAACGCACTCTTGAAGAACTACAGACCGATTTCCCTTCTGAGCTGCGTCTACGTGTTGTTTTCGAGAATCATTATGAATCGTCTCGCACGCAGACTCGACGACTTCCAGCCTTCGGAACAAGCCAGTTTCCGAAAAGACTTTAGCAACATGGACCACATACATACCCTTCGGCAAATTGTACAGAAGTTCGAGGAGTACAATTTGCCACTATGGCTGGCGTATGTAGAATATGAGAAATCGTTTGATTCTGTCGAAATTTTGGCGGAGCTGCAGTCCCTTCAGCGGTGCCAAATTATACAACCCT